GGCGCATGGCCTCTCTCAGCCTCATTTTCCCCCTCTGTACAAGATGGAATTGAGCTGATGTCTTCTAGGCCTGCCCTCCTGTCCATTCTCCTGTGAGCTGGAGCCCCAGAAGACAGGCCCCTGTGCACCCATCCTCACCCTCTTGACTCCCCCACCACCTACTTCCACCCTGCTGCCTCCTTCCTTCAAAGCTGTTCCTGCTCCAGTCAAGGTGTCCAGCCCCAGGTGAGCAACAGGTGGGAGAAGCAAAGGTTGGGGTGGGGGGGAGCAGCACAGCTGCCCTATGTATTCCCATCAGATGATGGTATATTTCCAGCACAATAAAGCAAGTTATAAACACAGAAGCAGAAAAGCAGCAGGATGTGAAGCATCAGAGGCCAGTGGTCTGCGGCATCAGCTGGAAGATAAATGGAGGAAATGACCCATTTCCAACAGCAACAAAAAGATACAATCCCTAGATGTGAGGAACACTTAAATGTACCTTACAGACACCAAAGTGCATGTCTAGAAACTTGGTTCCCAAAACAGTGGTGCTGAGGTGGGGCCCTTGGGAGGCAGCTGCGCCAGAGAATGGAGTAATTCACAGGGATTGGGCTGGTACCCATAGGGAGGGTCTCCGGACTTCTGGCCCTGGGATCCAGGCACTATAAAAGTCCTCACCAGCAAGAAAGCTGGCACCAGATGCAGCCTGCATCCCGTGGGTCCCAGTCTCTAGAAGTGTTAAATAACTTTCTTTCCTTTATAAATTATCTAGTCTGTGGTGTTCAGTGATAGCAACAAAAGACAACTGATACCATGCTCTGGATGAAAAAACTATGTCATAAAGAAGATGCTCTCCATATGCAGATTTATAAATTTAATGTAACCCTTATAAAAATACCACAGTGCTTTCTCCCTGGATCTAAATAAGCTAATCATAGAGTGCACACTTGAGAATGCAGAAAGTAGCCAGGAAACCCCTGGAAAAGGAGAAGATGGGGAGGAACTAGTCCTGCCTCCCACTGAACTATTGCCTGAGCCTCCATCATTGAACTGCAGCCCTACAGCCTGGGACAGACGCAGACGAGCAGGCCCAGGACACAGGAAATCCAGACAAAGACTCATGCCCAGAAAATTAAGTCTGTGGAGAAAGGTGGTCTCCTCCTCCTCAGGGAGGAGAAGATGGCATTGCTAGTAAATGTTGAGACAACTGTTAACTCCTTGGAAAATACAAAAATGGATCTGTACTCCGTATCACACGAAGACAAATTCCAAGTGGATTAAAGGATAAATATATGAGAAAGAAGTACTAGAAAACAGTGAATTACGTTGTAACCAGGAAGTGGGCAAAATCTTCCTAAATATGATTTAAAACCCCATAACAATAAAAGACAAAATACAAACTGGAAAACAATGTTTTTGTTTTTGTTTTTTGAGACAGCCTCAAGCTGTCCCCCTGGGTAGAGTGCCATAGCATTACAGCTCACAGCAACGTCCAACTCCTGGGCTCAAGCGAGTCTCCTGCCTCAGCCTCCCAAGTAGCTGGGACCACAGGCGCCCGCCA